TTCAAAATTATTCAGATTTATCCCTTCACATATACAAGGAAGGTGTGCAAGAATTCTACAAGCTTGAGATTACGAAAAAAATTTTTAGTTTTGAAATTTTGGAGCTGAAAATTCTTACAACTGGAGCCAGAAAGAATGCTTTACTGAGGATTACGAGCTTCACCGAAAATCTCAGGCGAAGCGTGAGAAAAATCGAGCTAAAAAGACCAATGAGAGCGAATCAAAGAATCTAAAACCCAACTAGACAGTTTCCGAGAAGAGCAGGCAGAAACAGAAAGATATGGCGTGACAAGGCAGACAGAAAACATCTTCGTTCCAAGTTTATAAGAAGAAAATTAAAAAACTTCGAGAAATTTCAAAACGAAAAACTGATTAAGACGACTAAAGATCGGAAAAGCTCAACAAAATTTGGTAACAGAAGTAGCGCTCTATGAACTAACAGTCTCAGCACTGAAGAACGACGAAGTTGAAACCATTTCAGGCGGAACTGACACGGAAGCGATCTGCAGACAACACTTTGCTTCAGAATAAAGCATCCACCGGCCAACAGTTCGTTTGTCAGAAGAGAAAACGTCGTCCTATCATTGTGAAGGAAGTTCGGCATGCAATTCGGTTTATCAGACAAAAAGAGGAAAGAGTCCAGGAAGAAACAGGCTGACAATTTAAATGAAAACAGCAGATGGTAAGAAACTATCACAAGCTTTTGCCCAGAGGTTCCGTCGTTACTTGTAAATGAAAAAAACTACATAGCGCTGAAACAAATCAATTATGATTTTGAAACACAATAAATGCGATCAGAAAGAGCTATAAACGATCGTCCAACATGGCTATTCTCACGTACCTACAAGCTACTTGCAAAGATACTTGAAAATGGACTATCAAGAAGTCTGAATGAGCAGCAACCGAGAGAGTAGGCCGGATTTCGAAAGAGCTTTAGCGCGATCGACAACGCTTCTACTCTGAGCCAACTACTAGAGAACTCGAGAGAACATAGATTGCTTCTCTGCACTGCCTTTGTCGCTTACGAAAAGGCGCTAGACTCAGTAGAGCTCAACGAGGAACGGACAGCACTAGCACAGCAGGGGTTTCATACAGAATACAAGAACCTACTGAACGAAGCGAACTCGGGTTGCACGACGAACATCACGTTTTTCAACAAACCACTGCAGATTCAAGTCCAGACAGACATTAAGCAAGAAGACAGAACTTCTTCAAACCTTTTCACATCCTGCCTAGAAATTGTATTCAAGCGGATAGGCTGGAAAGGAGGAACAGAAATGAACAGCGAATGGCTCAGCCACTTCAGATTCGCTGATGACGTTGTGTTGATTGAGGAAAGTATCAACGAACTCGAAAAAATGTTGCACGAACTTGACAAAAAAAGCTACTAAGTCACATTTCACAGTAATACCAGAAAAAGACAAGAACGTACAATATGTATATAATAGTACGAAAATACCACATGTACCTGCATGCGATAAAGTATATAACGTAGTACTATTTACTATACCGAACTACACGCCAAAACATTTGGTATTAGTAAAGTAATAAAAGGATGTATGCAATAAACATCATAAGCAGCCAGTACGCTCGAGCATGTCAAATAAAGAGCGACTCCTCCAAGGCTAGGTTTCATGGCCTATTGCACAGTATTGCTCCATGTCTATGCAGTAGCACATAAGGGGCAGGAGCTCCTTATAATGAGCGCGAGATAGTTCCAGCGGACAAAATCATGCGAGATCCATCCGGTAGTATAGCTGCTTAACGACCATCGAGCGGTGGCCTATTTAAATGTTTCCTAGGCAACTAGGAGCAAGGGTGCAGTGTAATACGCTGTGAAATTTTGTCGTGGAGGAGTCATTCGCTATCTGATGTACGTAACAGTATAATAAATCTGTATGCATAGGCACTAGATACAGAATATAAAGTAGTATTAATATTATGCACCTATACAGCCGGCAGAAATATACATATTATATCATTACGATATCACACTAATACCACAATACGTTATTTTACATACTATATATTACACCAGTACGAATAATATTATAGTATATAGTATACACGGTATAGCATGCTATACAGCACAGTATACATCACAGTACTACATAGTAGAAGTAGTCAGATACCACACTGCAACTGATACAGCATAGAAATACAAATCATGTGTGAATTAATCCCGTAAGAAACATTAAAAACAAGGACTGAAATTCAACTAACATAAACAATGAAATACTACTAATCTATACTCTAACACGACTGATGTACACACTACGTAGTTTTTCTTTGCATTTATAACTTGTATGAGTAATAACCACTGTAATGTTGGTCTACACCAAATCAGGTTGGCTTTAATCCTAAAATCAAAACTGTACCATGCTTTCGGATTGAAAAGCATTTTCCTTTGTGCGAGGTACGTTTATGCTGCTTGAGCTAAAACTGTCATACTGTTGTGCATCCAGTTGCTGAAACACCACAGAGATTTACCTATAGCCCTAAACGACTCCCTCCAAA